CTTCCCCAAACTCTGTGAATGGGATAAAGTTTCTACTGCAGCTTTGATTCTATTGTTCTTTGATGAGTCATCCTCCATCAGCTGTGAAGGTCATGTTAGGGTTTTTCTTTCTCAAACAACCAAACTTGTTTATTATAAATTATAACTATGGAGCAAGGTGCATTCTAGTCATTATTTTGTTAAGCTATAGGAAGGGAGGACTTCAGTGGTGGGTTGCTACCGGTTCGCCCCAGATTGGGCGAACTGGTAGCGGCGGGAGGCTCTGCCCACCTGCCCGGATGCTTCTGCGCATGTGCAGAAGTGTCACGCGCCCACAAGCAAACCGGTAGCAACGGGTTTTGAAACCCACCCCTAGAGGACTTGGTCATTTCTTTGTGTAAAGAGACAAAGTTTCAACTTTGCTGACCCTCTGAAGGAAGGTCTTATAGAGATTAACCTTTTTTCTGTGATAATAAGCAGGGAATGGGAGAGCTTGGTGTAATGGTTAAGGCACCAGGTTACAAACCAGAAGACTGTAACTCCTAGTTCTGCTTTAGGCACCAAGACAGCTAAATGACCATGATTTGCCCAGGCAGTTGCCAAGAGTCAACACTGACTTGAAGGTACACACACACACACACACATATAAAGTAAAGGTAAAAGGTTCCCTTCGCACATATGTGCTAGTCGTTCCCAACTCTAGGCGGTGGTGCTCATCTCCGTTTCTAAGCCGAAGAGCCAGTGCTGTCCAAAGACATCTCCGTGGTCATGTGGCTGGCATGACTAAATGCCAAAGGTGCACGGAATGCTGTTACCTTCCCACCAAAGGTGGTTCCTATTTTTCTACTTGCATTTTTTATGTGCTTTCGAATGGCTAGGTTGGCAGAAGCTGGGATAAATAACAGGAGCTCACCCTGTTACGCGGCACTAGGGATTCGAACCGCTGAACTGCCGACCTTTTGATCAACAAGCTCAGCGTCTTACCACTGAGCCACTGCATCACACACACACACACACATACACACACACACACACACACACATACACACACACAAATAAAGGTTACAGCTTTATGAAATTGCAGAAGATAGTATAGATGCAGAAATGGTATACGGTAAGTACATACGAGAGCTGATGGAGAATCAAATTGTACTGCAGAAGTTTTAACGAGAGTGCCAGCTTTCACTTAACAAGGAATTTCCCAATCCTTGTGATATATTATCATAGAATTGGTCATTTAGATTGACATTCTGTCCAGGCTAAATTTAGGGCCAAGTGCTTGAAGAGTGAAGTGCGAAATGTGCAATCTTAAGTTGAGTGAAGTTAAGATGTGAAATCTATAACATGTAAGAGGTACAGTAAAAGCAAGGTCTAAAAAGACCTAGTTTCAGTTTGCCTAAATATTGCAAGTATTCATCAGATGTATTATATAATTTTTCAAAATAGGAAACCTATCCATTCTTTTCTGTGCCACATCACAAGTAGCTTTTTCCATTATGGTAGCAGCATTGAAGATAATTAAAACCAGAAGCTCTCATCTATGGAACTAATTGCGTTGGTTTGCATCCCACATTCTTTCTGGTGTTTTTTTCCCAGGAGAAAAAAACAACTTCTCTTGCTCCATCTCTCCATCTCCATTCTTATATTCTCTCAATCATTCCAGAAAAAGACGCATACGGGAAGCAAGAAATCCCTTTTCCATAAATATGAACTTTTCTTCCATTCATGGAAGCTGGGATCAAAACTATTGATCTTTGTATTAGGGCCAGATAAAGTGAAAATGAAACGAAAAGCTAAGCAAACAACAACAACATCAAGTCTGGCAAAATGGATGTGACAGGTGTGAAGGATTCAAATATAAAGTGCATTTAGGTTGTATTTATTGAATATCATACTCAAGAGGTAAGTAGTTTGCGCTGCAATATCAAATAAGATTGCCTTATTTTGATCAAAGTTCAGATGGGAATGCTATCTTATGAGAAAGTGAGTAGCAAAATACAGAATTCCATTAAGAGCTATGAGAAAATATATTTCTCCGAAAAGTGATAAAAGATGAAAAGCAAGTTATGTGATAAAAAAAACCCCTGAAAGTATTCAAACAGTCTATCTTGAAATAATATGGAAGGACTTTTCACATACTTTTTTGTGAATATCGGGAAGAAGAGAGAGAAATGTCAGAAGCATTTAGTATATCCTGTTGGGACAGGGTGCTTAAATTATAGAAAGATCTGTCTAGATTTAAAGCAACTATGATACTTTTTTCATTAATATATCAGTCATCCAACATTAGTTTTCAGACTTCCTTATGAAAAATAAATATCTTTACAAGAGTAATAATAGCCTTAAAGCTGCAGATCATTTACAGCAAATATCTGTAGTATGCCTTTGTAAAATAAAGTAAGGATTTGTGCATTGCAGGGAGATAAATGAGTGGCATTGATATATCTGAGTAATGGCACTTCTTTGACAGATGTGATATAACTTTTAAAAAACCCAAGCCAAAATTTATGACTTTTAGAAATAACCAATTTAATCCTGGGATCTTTACAATAGTGAGAAATGCTTATGTTTATTGCATTATTAGCCTAAGAGAACGACATCCTGGATGTAGTCGGGTGGGCAAATGTGTACTTCCATAATACAAAATACAGCTATACAACTTATAATTTGAATTGTATTTCCAGTTCATACTTTAATTTACTATTATATTAATATTGCATTTAGTATAATGTGTTTATATTTTTCTATATAAGCAGTGGTGGGATTCAGCCGGTTCGCACCACTTCGGGAGAACCGGTTGTTAACTTTCTGAGCAGTTTGGCAAACTGGTTGTTGGAAGAAATCATTAGGGCAGAGAACCAGTTGTTAAATTACTTGAATCCCACCACTGTATATAGGTGAGCCTGCATTTAATAACCCAATATTTGCAGCAAATAGATACAGTATATTATGAAAAGCAACAAGGACCATAGATTTAACAATTATCAAAGGCAAAAATGGTCAGGTTTGACAGACAATGAACTAAGTGTTTTCAAGTTTTGTATGGATGATGAAATATAGCAAGTAGATGAAGTACTTTTGTAGAATGTTCAGCATGAATGGGAAAACGAATGCAGAAATATTACAAGATGCAAATCTTGGAATAAAGGTTTATGCGATTTGCTACAAAAAAAAAAAAGAAATTTTCTTTGTCAAAAGAAGTGAAAGTGATTGTATATCAAAGCATGATTTCACCCACTTCGTTATATGGAAGTGCTGAGTGTGTCAGCATAAGTTGTATGGAATACTTAAGAAGCCTGTGTGGTAAAAGATAAGTTAAAAATGAATTGGTACTGAATCCATGTTGATTGAATGCAAAATGGGTGACCAATACAGAAGTTTGATTATATAGAAAAGATGAATAAGAATCTAAGCATAAAACAAATATATGAAGGAAGAGTGAATGACCAGGAGGAAGGGGAAGATGTGATTGGATGGAGTAGATTAGACCTTGAACAAGATAGATAGATAGAATAGACAGACAGACAGACAGACAGACAGACAGACATGATAGATAGATAGATAGATAGATAGACAGACAGACAGACAGACGACAGACAGACAGACAGACAGACAGACAGACAGACAGACAGACAGACTGACATGATAGAAGCAAGGTTGATGTCAGGCTCCAAGAGCCAAGAATGACACATAGAGTTACTTCTGAGTAATTTCTTTATTGTTGTTTGCTTGCAAACAGAATCTTGCCAGACTATTTAAAGCAACTATCTGTATGACTACAGATATACTCTGTGAACTGCTAAGGAAGGTTCATTTTTGCCCTCTTCTTGCCTACCAGACATTTCAAACTTCGCTGACTCTTTGTCCTCTGGGAAGCAGCCCAGCGGTGAAATCCTCTGAAGTCTGCTGCCGGTTCTGGGAGTCTGCTACTGAGCACGTGCTTTGCGCACACATGTGCATATGGGGCGTGCTCACGCAGTGCTAAAAAAGGAAAATTTTGAAGCCTTCTGAGTCTCCAAAGGTAAGTAGAACAGCGAGTGGGGGGGAATCCGATGTGCCACAGGATTTAGTTTAACTAGAAAGCAGGAAATCCAACAATTCTAGCTTATATCAATTGCACATCACAGCTGATCATCACCCAGCTGATCATCGGAAATACCGCTTTGCCCGAACCAGTAGCATTTTTTATTTACCAGTTCGGGAGAATCGGTCCGAACTGGTAGCATTTTACCCCTGAAGCAGCCCCTCCCTCTTGTGATAACAGACTAGATTCTACCACAGTTGATTTACAAGGCAGAACTATATTGAGAGCTTGTCCCTACTTGCATTTATCTAGGGTACAAATATGCACTAAAATCATGTTTAAGAAGTGCTCAAACAACAGTTGGCAGGCAGGAGGTGGCATTGTGCAACTAAGCAGCAAAGAGAGACCAGCTCTTGTATTCCCCTCCCTGCCCATCAATTGTTGTTCAGCTTGTTTTTGAAGAGCGGCGTAGTGTTTTTCAAATGTGAGTTCACTGTTGTTCTGAAGAGAACCAAACCTGGGTTCAGAAGTGGCTCCAACACAGCTGACTATTGTGCTGCTTTCGGCAGAAAGTTGCACTACTATTTAGTATTGCTTTGGAGATTGGGTGATTCACAACCCTTTCTTTGTCCCCACCCCCAATCCTGGCAGTAGATCCCCGAGAGATGTGGCGCAGAGGGGTAGTTCTGACAGATGTCTAAACCTGTGGGTCTTGTCATTTGTCAAAAATACCACCGGTCACAACAGTACTAAGTTTGGTAGATAGTTTGCTCACCTTCTGGGGGCCTTATAATGGAAACGAGGATCTTTCTTTCTTTCTTTCTTTCTTTCTTTCTTTCTTTCTTTCTTTCTTTCTTTCTTTCTTTCTTTCTTTCTTTCTTTTTCTCCACTTCTTCCCCTTCCTCTAATCTTTGTGTAACATTGTTTACCTTGAAAGGGGATAGTGGGACAGGCATGTCTCCATGTATATCTTTTTTATCTCTTACTAGGACCTGTTTCTAGCTTCCCAAGTGGATCTCCAGGAATTCGGTGGTTGCTTTGATGAAGTCTGCTCCCTGCAGTTTGGGAAGACATCATTAATAGTACTAAAGATCTATAGGAAGATGATATCCATTGTCTTTAATTAAACTGGGAATTTCCACTTGCTGTGAGTACTCTAGTGATATATATGGATAAATAACTGTTAGTAGATTGCCATAAATATTGTGTTTCAAAACAGCAGGATGCTTGAGCTTCCTGCTTCTTTTCAGAGAAATGAAAACAGTAATAATTTTTAACTAGAGTTGACGTATCTGAATTAAATCCAGTAATGGTTGTTTTCTAAACAAGCATTATTAGCGCGCCCAGAATAAAGTGTTTGGTTCTGTATTGTTTTCACAAAGTATGATTCTTTAGTTTCATTAGTTTATTTGCAGAATATTACAAAATGTTTGCAAAGTGAATTATTAATTGAATGTCTGCTGTTTATTTAAAGAGGACAAATCTATTTGCCAACATGATCAAGGGGAGAGTTTTAATGTGGTTTTTATCTGTCAAACACGTTTTACATAACTGCTTCTGTTTCTAATCACAGAGGACAGTGTTTTATGAAAATCACCTAGTCGCTAAACGTTTTAGCATCCAGACAATGCTAAAAGATTGCTCAAGCTGGATTTTTGCAGCTTTTTTTAGCCTTGTAAAGTATTTTGTCTTACTGTAGAAAATTAGGGGCTTCAGGTTCAGGAATGTAGTCCCTGAGCCAAAGGACTTCTTGTGGTGGGACCAGTCAGTTCCAACTCTGAGTAAAAGTTTCAGGGTATGGTCAAAAAAGGTATGGTAGAGACCATAATCCTGCAAATGAAGTTCTGCATGGTTTTTTTATATGTGATATGTAATCAGATAGAATCTGATAGATCATACCATTGTGGTCATTGACCGTATCCTGAAAATTAGCCTACTGGCAAAATCTTAAAGCAACCACAACTTACAACAATTTACTCCAGAAGTGCCTGGCTATCCTCTTGTAATGGTATGTGAAAATAACCTTGGGAGACAGGGGGAAAAGCCAGAGCCAGGGCATTGATGTTGTTTTTATTTATGCATACAGTTACCCATGTGCTGAAAGACTTTTAACTGAGGATAGCGGAGGAATTTTTGTAATATATAAACAGACATAAGTCAACTGTTGTTTATGATGTGTGCCTGGGCAGCATGTCCTTTGTACTATCATTCTTAATTTTTTTTTTAAAAAAAAGTATTTATGGATTGGATACATGTAAGCCTTTCCTATCTAAAATATATGCTTGATTTGTGGATCAAAAATATTAAAAAAGGAACCCCAAAACACATGCTTCAGTTCTATCACTTTTGGGATTCCAACTTGGAGACTCAATACCAAACATGTTGGGATTCTTTAGAAGGAAACACCAAAGTTGCTAGTATAAAATACACTTCCTTGATAGTTAAAGGCATGATAGTTAACATCCTGGGTTTTGCAATAAATTGACATCGTAATAAAGGGAAGGAAAATCCCATGTTTATTCCTGATATTTCCAACAGCTTTTATCAGGCAGAGTGGAAGAAGGCTACATGTCTTAAGACAACTCTTAACCCTTTGCAGTTGGCCAAAACTTTATTGAGTGATCAGTACATATTGAGTATTAAATAGCGCAGTCCTGGAACGTGCTGGAATTTCTAGCATGTATACACTATTGAAACAGCAACGTCTACGCTGGCTGGGGCATGTCGTAAGAATGGCTGATGGTCGGATTCCGAAAGATCTCCTGTATGGAGAATTAGTGCAGGGAAAGCGCCTCAGAGGGAGACCACAGCTGCGATATAAGGATATCTGCAAGAGGGATCTAAAGGCCCTGGGAATGGACATTAACAACTGGGAAACCTTGATCTCCGATCATTCAGCTTGGAGGCTAAAGACGCAACATGGCCTTCTCCAATTCGAAGAGACACTTGTTCAGCAGGCTGAGGCAAAGAGGCAGTCCCGGAACCAGCGAAATCTGGGGGCTGGGCAGGGGACAGAATGTATCTGCCCTCAGTGTGGAAGGGATTGCCACTCTCGAATTGGCCTTTTTAGTCACACTAGATGCTGTTTTAGGACCTCTTTCCAGAGCACGATACCATAGTCTCTTGAGACTGAAGGATGCCAATGAATGACATACTGAGTATTAAAGAAGCTAGCATAGCCAACAATTATACTCCTCTTCTTTTCTTCCTGTTAATGTAATGGAAAAGGAAAAGTTTCCAGGTTGTAATGTTTTTCTGTCTAAAATTAGAGCCCAGGTGGCGCAGTGGTTAGAGTGCAGTACTGCAGGCTACTTTAGCTGACTGCTAGCTGCAGTTCAGCAATTCAATTCTCACCGGCTCAAGGTTGACTCAGCCTTCCATCCTTCTGAGGTTGGTAAAATGAGGACCCAGATTGTTGGGAGCAATATGCTGACTCTGTAAACCGCTTAGAGAAGGCTGTAAAAGCACTATGAAACAGTATATGAGTGCTATTGCTATGGCTAAAATTGAAGAAATCAGAGCATCAATTATTACAGGATGTAATAATTGGGAATAACTTTGTAATATCTTCTGTCAAAATCCTTTGGGAATTGACTCCTATAGCATCCCTCAAAAATGAGCATCCAGTCTCTATTTAAACCATGACCATCACCACCATGATTTCTTAGTAAAGCAGAGACCAAAAGGAAAAAAGAACCAGGACAGATAAACAATTGCAATTAAAATGAATAAATTTCACCAAGACTATTTGCTGTCTTTTGTAAGATTACCCTGGAAACATTTTCCCACCGTTTCAAGCCTGTGATTTTATACTCGTACCCACATTTTACAAAAGTTGTCTTATGTCTTCAGTCAGTTCTGGGATAATTGAATTTACTTGACAAATGCAGGCTTTCCATACATCTTAATTTATAGAAAGTGCCTCATATTTTCTTTCTTATAAAAGGTTTCTTACCTTTCTTATCTGTCATATCATCCAAATATGTCCTGAGGTGGGAAGGGGGCTTAAAATAAGATGAAGGGAAAGGGGGAGGTGTCCACAGATTTCCTGGATTCCCATTTTCCACCATTTTTTTTTGTCACCCTCTGTTCACTTCTTCTGTCCTGCTTCCCTGCAGTGAGGCAGTGAAAGAAGCCTTTAATGTTGCCCTGGAAAACATCAGCAAAATCCAGAGGCATTGAGATGTTCATACTGGATATTGGCAGCAATAACTACACTTCCGTCATATATTGAACCCCTCTAGTTTTGTGCATTGCACAAGGCAGTCTCTGTGGTTAGTTTGTAAGTTCAGTGTGATACAAACAGAACCACTGAATGAAGAAGTTGGCAAGAAAGACCATTCCATATTTGACTTTACATGAGGAAGGGTAGAAACCATTCTTCCGTAATTATTTCTGGTTTCTTGTTCAGAGAAGCTCTGGTATTATTAGTGATAATCCCATCTGCATGTATAGCTTTGCTAAAAAAACAGGATTTTGGTTCTTGCTTGGCTCTTTGTCTTAGCCAGCTAAATTCACCCTGCCCTTGTTTCATCCTTTTGGTATATTGCAATAATCCCAAACCAAGACTTTTTAGGTGCAGTTTGTTGAACATGCCACAGTAATTCCCATAAACACAGACACGGACACACACACACACACACACACACACACACACACACACACACACTCACTCACTCCTTGCTTACCAACTGCCTTGTTAATGACCTTTTGAAATGACAACAGTGTAAAAAAAAAACCTTTGTGACCAAACCTCACATTTACAACTGGTGCAGAATCCCACGTTAATGTGAACATGATTCACAACCAGTGCACATTTACAATCGTCGCAGCACCCCATGGACACATGAACACCATTTGTGTACTTCGCAACAATCAAAGTTAAGGGAGAAAACAGAAATGAAATTGTCAGTTGTGGACACGCTGCACTTTGCTTAACAACCGCAGTACCTTGCCCAACAACTTAGTGACTGCACCCGTTTCAAGTGGAATTGTGGGCTCCCGATTGTGGTCGCTAAGTGAAGAGTACCTCCACAAGGATAGAGTAAATGATTGTATGTCTGATAGCGTCATCATACAAATGCCATACCTTACATGCTTGCACCAGCTAGCAGGATGCAAGTATGTAGTGGCATTAGTGATGATGTCATCATACACACATTATTTTTGCATCCTTGTGATTTTCTGTGAAAATGGTTGTGGCACAGCTGCCCGATATTAGAAGTACAATGGCCTTTGCTTTTTACTGCACAGCCTGCTGATTTTTTTAAACAAAACTTTTCCCCAAACATTTATCTAGTATATAATTATATAAAAATTAAAGTTCTTTGAGTGGCTATTAAATAGTATTTTAATTGAGTTGACAAAATTGCTTTTGGCTTGCATTAAAAGTCATTAGTATCTTATTTCTGGTAACAAAATATAATCAATGTTAAATTCTAAAATGTAACCAAAGAAGGCTGTATTTTTATTAACTGCAGAAAGATAATGAATCTGCTCTATATAAAGATTTGGACTAAATCTTCTGAGATGTCGGGGATGGTGTTTTAATTAAGATAATCCTTATTTGCATCTAACAAACACTATTGCTACTTAGAAATTTAAGACTTTAGTGAGGCATATTAGTACATTACCTAAACAAATCTAATAGTGACTTAATACTTGTATTTGAAGTAGCAATCTGTCATAAATTAACTGCATTTGCATAGTAAATGTACAGGTTGTTATTCCTTGTAGAGTTTTATATAATTAAGGGACAAGTAAGCCTTAACATTAATAATTTTAATAGTGGAAGGGAACTAAATTGTAGTGTTAAAATAGTCCTAACTTTAAACAGAAGTAATTTTTCAGACTTGGAGAATAATAATAGATGAAAAATCTGAGTCCATAAAGCTTAGCGTAGGTGAGAGAAGATATCTTTGTAAGATGAAACATCTCCATCTCTAATTATTTCATTGCCAGAATTGATATAAGTCTCAGTTAGCTTTTTAATCATCCATTTAGAATGGGAGTTGCGTTGTCCATTGGCCAAGTGTGTAACTTGTTTAGGGTTCTGTACATCACTGCATTCTATGGCACTCGCCATCTGGACATCACCAGAAATTAGATAGATTTTGGGGATCAGCATATAGCAAAGTTATGATAATA